TCCCAGCTCTCAGGAGGCAGAGGCAGTAGGATGGAAAATTCATGGTCAGCCTGGATGGCATCATGAGGCTTTCTCTCAAAATAAAATAAAATAAGGGGCCCAGAGAGATGGCTCAGTGGCTAAGAGCTTATGCTGCCCTTCTGGTTCAGTTCTCAGTTCCCACCATCAGGCAGTTCACAAATACCTGAAACTTCAGCTCCAGGGTACCAAACGCCCCCTTCTGGCTTCCTTGGGAGCCCACACTCACATGCATATAGCTCCTCACAGACACACACACACTTACACATAATTTTAAAAATAAGAGAAATTTTTAAATAAAATAAGGTAAGATCCAGTGAACTGACTCAGTGGGAAAGGATGCTTGCCAGCAATCTTGGCAGTGTGGGTTCAGTCCTTAGGCCCTCCATGGTAGAGGTAGAGAACCAACTCCCACCAGATGTCCTCCCTCCCCCCCCTCTCTGTCTCTCTGCCTCTCTCTCTGTCTCTCTCTCTGTCTCTCTCTCTCTCTCTCTCTCTCTCACACACACACACACACACACACACGCGCGCGCGCGCAAAACAAATAAATACAATTTGAAAATTAAAACAAGGACGCTGGGCTGTAGCTCATTTAGTAGCGTACCTGGCACGGCATGTATGCATGAGACCCTGGCTTCTATCCTCAGCCCCACATAAGTGGAGTATGGTGGTGTACATGTGTAATACCAGCATTTAGAAAGCAGAGGCTGAAGGATCAGGAGTTCAAGGTCATGCTTAGCTACATAAGGAATTTGAGGCTAGGCTGGGCATCATGATGCCCCGTCTAAAATTAATAATTAACAGTAATAAAAAATACAATAGAGTGTCATAAAAATAGAACAGAGAGGGGGAAAGGCTATATGCTTTGCTGGTAGCTGCTAAAGACTCCCCAGGGACTGCCACAGGCCACCACCTTGGTTCTCTGAACTGGGGTGACACATTTCAGATGGCAGTGGTTAGTGGCTGCTGGTGTTCCCGACCATGCGTGTCAACCCCAGGCTTCCCCACAGTCACTTTTCTTCACCGTCAGTCTCTCTGTCCCACCAGCCCTCCCTAACTCCAAATGTTCCAGGCATTTTTCCCAAGCTGTAGCTCTATTATTTCGGATGGAAAACAGTCCTCTAGCTTTTGATCTCATGCTTAAATAAAAATGTCCTCCCGTTCTCCGTGATATATTTGCTTATCGGATTTATTTAATGAAATATGGATTTATGCCATAAATATTGGAGTTGGTGTCGTCCATATTTCAATTAATGGATCATTTATATGTCATGCTAACTTTGTAATTACCGAAATGTAGAAATATAGCGGAGTGAAATGAATCTCTGATCTCCTTTACATTCCGCCCCCATCCAAGGTGTCGAGGAGAAGAGGAAGATTTAATGTGAGGTTTCCTAAAGAAAGGGCAGGGGACTCCGAGAAGCAGGCTCCTCCTGCAAAGCTGGTGGAGATTTGAATTGCACTGTGAATTCCAACCTCTCCTCAGTGTCCAGAGAGAGCAGAAAGTGAGAGCCTGGCCAGAGGGCCTGGCCGTCAATCTACCTCCAGGCCTTCGTGTGATCATCATTTTTGTCTCGGTCATAAAGCACAAGCTATTTTCCCTTTTGCCAAATCTCAGGCCTAAATGGCTCTAAATATACATGAATATAGATTTCTCGCTGAGCCCTGCTGCCAGGAATTCGCTAGAAACCCTCACCTGACCTAGGAGGCAGAAGATGTATTCTCCATCCCCCGTGAACCAACAGCCTGTCACTTGGCTTCATCTTTGGCAGAGGGTTCTGCCCTGGATGGTACCCTGGTGAACTCTCTCTCTCCTCTCTCTGTCTCTCATGCCCGCTAGTTGCTAACCAGAGAAATCTGGCAAGAGGTGCCCAGACAGTGACTCTAACTCACATATATAATTCTATCGGAATACATCCAAGGGTGGGGGAGAATCATTGTTCTCCCAACTAGCTGAGCCAAAGCGCGAGCAGAAAACACTAAAGTCAGCCGTGCCTTTGAGCTGCCTCTAACAGCGCCCTTTGGAGACCCATTTCATACAAAATTTGAAGCCTGTGTTTATTGCCCATTAAAGCAACCTTTATTTTATGGCAAATGTTGCAGTAATTGCCTTTTACGAAGAGCACTTTGTAACACACATGCACAGTTGAAAGAAAACCACTCTGGTATTGTCTATCGGGACGTAATGGCGCAATTAATTTTACTCCATCTGTTCCTGAGACTTTAAAGGAAAATGGATTTTTTTTTGAGCGCACTTTAATGAAGAAGATAAAGCGGCCCGGCTGGTGTCCCACAGGCTCTGCGCAGTAAGTTCAGATTATTGCTCAGTCTGTCAGAATGGGCCGCTTCCCTCAGCAGCCGACACAGCCAGCAACCCGCTCTGGCCCCTCGCCGCGCCATTCCCGATGACAAACTGCCAGCCAGCTCCCACAAAAGCACGATTAAAATGTCAGCACAGGATGACGAAGGGGCCAAGAGGGTCCTCGGAGACAAACTGTGTTCAGTATGAGTTAATACTTTACAGCAGGGCTGGGGCCCAGCTTGCTTGCTGCCTGCTCTCAGGCTGTTGGCTCGCCTCACAGACGATGAAAGGGGCAGGGCTGGCGACTCGGTGGCAGGAAGGATGTGCCCTGCGTGTGTTTGTGTGGCTGATATGTGTGTGACATTTTGGAAAGGATGCCTGTGAGGTTCTTAGGCCACTGGATTTGGATTCCCCCCAGTGGGTTCTTAGCTACGATAAAGGGGTTGCCAGGAAGGACCCTGTTGTCACAGGCTTTGTCTTAGATGTCCTTAGCATCCTTTCAGAGACCACGAGGGCTACTGTGGAGATTCCCAAGAAGGAAGCCACTCATCACAGAGAGATGTGTATTCAATGGATACAGTTGCTGTCACCTTGGATCCCCTGTCCTAAAGTCTCAGAATATGTAGCTAAGGCAAGCAAAGGTCCAACAGCACAACTGTGGTTTTGTTTTGTTTTAACACAGGGGCACATGTATCCTTGGCTAGCCCCAAATTTGCTATGTAGCTGAGGATGACCTTGAACTTCTAATCCCCCCTGCAACACCAGGCCCAGGTTATATGCTCCTAGGAACCAAAGCCAGGGCTTCATGGATGCTAAGCACACACTATACCAGTGGAGCTGGAGCCTCAGCCCAGCACAATGTCTTCTTGTATTAGCCTACTAGCAATCTCAGGCCAGAGTCTACTAACCTGACAAAGAGTGGACAAGCCAAGCAAGCTACATCTTTCCCCCTGTCTCCCTCACTCCAGCTGTGTGCCCAGGAGGAAGTGATGAAAAGGCCAGGGATTTACATCTCTGGCCTCCTGCAGAGACCTGGTCTGCCATCCTAGCCAGGCAGCAGGTGTGAGCTGCTGCCATTGTCCCTAATGGTTATTACCAGCAATAAGCAGGACAAATGTGAGGTCATCTCTCCCGCTGGCAGGTCAGAGGGGGATGGATGGAAAGCCCCTTGGAGACTAAGAAATGAGATGGTCAGTATCCATGGCGGAAGTGTCTCCAAGGCCAGGCTCCAGCCGATGCTAGAAAAGAGCAGAGGGGAGGGGCGGAGGAAGGGAAGACTTCTCTCAGTCAGTGTGATTCCAGATGTCCACTCCTACTCCAGAACAGTCGGGGGCAGCCATTGTTAGTGGGGAAGCAAACCAGTGCACGGTACCATTCGAGTAACAGCAGGAAGGGAGGAGCCCCCCCCCCCCGTACAGGACTGCTGAGGTTAGGGAGGAGTTGCTTTCCTCGTGGTCCATCACTACGGGCCCAAAGCTTCACATGCTGGTTTCTAATTAAACTCATTCACTCATTCATCGGGGGAGGCTGTTAAGGGAGGACTTCCAGGCTTCCTAACACCGCTCTCTGACCTCCTTGCTGCTTTCTCCCACTCTTGTCTTGTGACTGCTTCTCTGATGGGGAGGGAACCTCCCACAGTTGACTCCCGTTAGTCCTTCAGTCCCCCTCCCTCCCTCTTGTCATGATTCTAGCTCCGTCAGGCCTCTCCTCCTGTCTTCCCCCTCCAGATTTCTGTCAACCCATCTCTGAGCCCTTCTGCCTTTTTATGGCTCTGGAAGGTTCTTCCTCCTGCCCTTTCTAGGCACCAGTTTCCCTGCCTTGAACATCACGTGGCCCCACCCGTAATGGAATTCTAATGGTCGCAGTTGGCTTTTAGGGCACAAACAGATTTCTTTGGGCTACCAGGGACACAGCAGCCTTACTGATAACCTGAAACATCACCCTCACGGAGCAGCCAGTGGTTCGCTTACCCCTTCAGGGAGGTTTCAGGGGCACCTTTAAGTCACATGCAGTATAAGGTCACTGGGAGGAAAGACAGACAAGGGTGACTTACTCCTGCGCCCCTGTAGAAGCCCAGCAAGTGCCCTAGGAGACAAGGAATGGGTGAGCTCCTGCTCTCTTCTGCTTGCACTTCCTCAACAGCTACACAGGTGTTGCTCCCCTGCCAGCCTCCTGTCTCCAACCGCCACAAAGGTTCCTGGTTTTCTATCTGCCCATCCCACTTAGGAGGAATTCTGCTCTCTTTATCCTATTTTAGAGATTTGTTTATTTTACTGTGTGCCTATGTCTGTGTGCACACGCGTGCCGTGCCTACAAAAGCCAGAAGAGGGTGTAGCATCAGATCTACTGAGCTGCCCAGTGTGGGTACTGGGCATGTGATTCCAAACTTGGGCCTTCTGCAAGAACAGCAAGCACTCTTAACTGCTGAGCCATCTCTCTAGCCCCTCGAGAGAAGTCTTTTGAATTGATGCTATTTTAATAATCCAAATGGTAGGCATTCGTTTTAGCAACGTTATAGAATGCAGAAGATAGGGTTGTACTTACTATATAGTACTACCCACAATCCAGAGCCCTCAGGAGCTAAGAAGAAGGAGGCATTGTGAAAAGAGGATGATTTCCCCAAGCGGGGCTGCTTACTTACAGAGGTGGTATGGCAGGGGGATATAAACTTTGGATTTGGAGCTTCGGGTTAGACAGATGAACTCTGAAACCACAGTGTCTTAACTGCTGATGACACAAGGGACAAATTCAGGGTCTTCGTTAACTCCAGGAGAAGACACTTTGCCCTCCCTTTTCTCTTTGCCCATCACCATGTCCTGAGAAGCATGCGGGCAGATTTTATTCCCACGGGGAGATGTGGAATGGGGAGTCATGGGACCTGTAACCCCCGTTCTTTTCTGCAAGACTCCAGAGTTGAAGCAACAGGCACAGAGATCTCTTGAATATTTCCCCAGTATGCAAGAGAACCACACACTTATTATGTGGACTTTTTTTCTCTCGTTTTAAAGTGTGTAGGGGGGAGAGGGAGCACTTGGAGGGACTAGAAGATGTTGGATATTTGGGAGTTGGAGTTACAGGTCTTGTGGACCACCTGACATGGGTGCAGGGAGTCTAACTCCAGTCCTCATGATTGAATAGTAAACACTCTTAACCACTAGGCCATTATTTCTCAACTTGTGGGTCATGACCCCTTTGGGGTCAAATTACCCTTTCACAGGGGGTCACCTAAGACCATCAGAAAACACATATTTACATTACGGATTCCTAACAATAGCGAAATTACAGTTTTAAAGTAGCAATGAAAACAATTTTAGAGGAACAGTAGTAAAGGGTCACAGCATTAGGAAGGTTGAGAACCACTGCTCTAAGCCATCTCTCCAGCCCTCATTATACGGAGTCTCTATCCTCCTCCCCAAGCCCCAAGTAGCAGCAAGCCTTAATGACTGGGGAGATGGCTCTATCCGTGAAGTGCCTGCTACACAAGCTTGAGGAGCTGAGTCCAGAGCCCCAGCACCCATGTGCAAAGCCGGGGAAGTCAGGGGGCGGGGGTCATTGCATACCTGTAATATCAGTGTTGGGGAGGCAGAGACAGGAGGGTCCTTAGGATTTGTTGGCCAGCCAATCTACCCAAATTGAAGAGTTTCAGATCAGTGAGAGATGCCATCTAAATAAATAAAAGTAGAAGATGAACCAGGAGGAAAACCCCTGTTGACTTCCGATATCCACATGCATGCTTACACACACACACAAACACACACACACACACACACACACACACGCACGCACGCACACACGCACGTACACGGATGCTCTTACACTCCAAAATGACCCTCAAACCGAATAACTCCATGGCTTTTGAAGGTACTGCATCATAAAAGCAGCTTCCCATGACTCCCTCAAGCAGTAAACCCCAGCTTGGGCACTGGGAGACGCAGCTCTCGGTCTTTAATGGAGCACAGCTGAGGCAAGTTGAAAAGGGGGAGGACTGTAAACTTCAGAGCAGGCCTCACCAATGCCGCCCACCCTGGCAGAATGATTCAAGGGGCTCCAAACTTTGCCTCATCAAGTCAGAGAATTCTGTGCAAATGAACTTTTCAAGAATTATGCCGCCGTTGGCATTACAGTATTACACGCACGCCCGTTCCCGATCACTCACTGGAACTTATTTTGTAGTTAACCTCCGTAAAGGACTGCACAAGCGAGCCCAGGCCTGTCACACACACGTTATTTAGAAGCCCTTATTATTATTTTATTGCTAGTCCTTGACAGCTGAGGAAAAGCCAAGCGCTTTAATCTTTTTTTTTCCCTCTCCCCCTTTAGTTTACAGTGTAAGAGCTCTGTGTAAGATGGATTTGATTAATATGTAACAGAGATGCAATTCTCGGTAAAATGTGCTGTACGTTAGCACCCTGGAAAACAAACTGCATCACAATGGCTTAAATCTCAGTCCATTGTATTATATAGACATCATAAATAATAGAGAGCAGGCAGATATTGCTGCCGGCTTCATCTGCATAACACATCTGAGCTCTCCATAATGCGTTCAGCTTGTCACTTTTAGTGCAGAAAAGAAGCCGTAAAGCTAACAGCTGACTAACACACATCAGCCCTTCTTCTCCTTCCAGGGGGGGCGAATGCTCATTAAGACATCTTAGCCCTGACTTTTAAAATCCATAACTCTTACAAATGTAAAAAAGTTGCCACGAAAGATTAAGCGCATAATATATGTCAAAGGATAATTTTTTTCGTGCCTCTTCTCCACCACCAACCAGCACTCCCTGCCACCACCGCCGCCACCGCCATCACTGCCACACCAAAAGCCTCCCTTCTTTTATATAGCCCTCACACTAAAGGAAAGAAAATATAAGATGCCCAAGTTTCGGATAAAACCAGATGAAATATCATGCTCATGACTTGAGTAAAGGGTAATAATTTTTTTTTTAAGAAAGGATCTCTCTTGTTGCCTGTGCTAGGCCTCAAATCACTAAGCAGTGGAGGATGACCTTGAACTCCTGAGCCTTCTGCCTTCAGCCCGTTTCCCCAGTTGTAGAATTAGAAGCAGGCACTGCCACACATGGTTTATACTGGGGACAGAACCTAGTCTTTGTGCACACCGGGCAGGCACTCTGCCAGCTGAGCTACATCCACAGCCCCTTTGTTTAAGAAAGAAAGAGGAAAGTAAAAAGATAAAAAATAATGTTATGTTTTATTTATGTGTTATGCCTAAAAGACAAGTCGAGGGAGTCAGTTCTTTCTACCATGTGGGGCTAGCCTCAAGCTCAGTATGTAGCCCAGGCTGGCCTTAAGCTCCTGGTTCTCCTGCCTTCAATTCTGAGCGCTACCTAGCTTGGTAGAGGGTTTCAAGTGACCCCCAGAGGACTGCCGCCTCTTCCTCCTCTGTGTCTAGCCGGATATCGGTCCTCCCAATTCTACCTTTCACACAGGCCGCAGAGTCAGCCGGGGCTACTTGAAATGGTCTGTTTTTCTGTTGGAAACCAGGAGGAAGGAAGCCTCCGTCCCTTTCCTGATAGGCCCAGGTCTGCCTCCCTTGGGGCATCTGAGTGCTCCTCTGATTACCTTTCCTGAGACTTGGTGTGTATGTCTGTGAGCATGAATGGTGGTCACGGGGGAGTATATTTGTCTACACGTGCATATGCAGGCCAGAGGCCAACATCAAGTGTTGTCTTCAGTAGCTTTCCAGTAGCTGCCTTTGAGACAGTCTCTCACTGAACCAGGAGCTCACCAGTTTTGCTAGTCTCTCTGGCCAGCAAACCTTAAGAGTCTTCTGCACCCCTCCCTGCTCACAGCACTGAGGTTAAAGGCATACAGCTTTTTACAGAGGTCCTGGGGATCCAAACTTGGGTCCTCTTTGCATTGAAAGCATTTTTTTTGTTTTTTGTTTTTTGTTTTGTTTTGCTCATTGAGCCATCTCCCCTGCCCCCCATTTCATAGGTTTTTAGAGAAAAAAATGGGAAACATTATAGCACGTCATTTTGTGTGATGAGGGTGAGGTGTTTTAAGGGATCAAGACTGTCAGACAGGCAAGAAGAAAGCATATTTGTAGTTCTAATGGAGGGGGCAGATTGCATTCCCTGGGGGTGTTTGGGAGTGTCTGGGGGAGCAGTGTGGTCTCTTTCTTGTGGAGACTAAGATGCAGACAGTTTATGGATGTATTTCTCTCATGACATTCATCTCTCTCTCTTTTTTTTTAAATGCTTTACCGGTCTGGAAGATGGCTCAGTGGGCAAAGCATTTGCCACACAAACATGAGGACCAGAGTTTGGATTCCCAGAGCTTGTGTAAAAAGCCACCAGGCATGGCAATGGGAGATACTTGACAATGACTTCTGGTTCTGTATACAAACACACACACATACACAGAGGCACATGCATACACACACACACAGAGGCACATACATACACACACACACACACACACACACACACACACACACACACCACTTTAAAAACAGGTTTACAGTGCTTGTTTAAAAAGGAAAAAAAATGGCTGACGGCAGCCCGAAGGTAGAAGGCAAGCTGGTCCTGAGATGGGAAGCTTTTCCTAGCACTTACAACTCCTCCCAAGGGAGAGACTTTAGCACTCCCAATACTTGACTCATTTAGTATGAGTTGAACCAACTTCTGAAAAGCAAACTTACAGGAAGGGGGGAAAAAAAAAAAGAAATTGCCCTAACCACCCTGTATAAGGTAGGGGATTGGCAAGCCAACACAAGTTGGAAGTCAACTCAGAAGTCCCATGATGCACTGGGGTGGAACACTGTTTACTTATAAAGAGTGTGTGGTGTGGTGTGGTGTGGTGTGTGTGTGTGTGTGTGTGTGTGTGTGTGTGTGTGTGTGTGTGTGTGTAATTGTATGTGTGATACCAACCAACCTAGACACAGGGGCTTTCATTGTGACCAGTGGTGCTTGTGGGTGAGGACTCAAAGAAGCCTTGCTTCCCTCCAAGAGGAGTGTGGGCCTGGAACAGTGGGACATTTTTTCCACCAGTTACAATGACAGTTTGTTTTTGGAGAAACTTGCCATTAAACTCCAGTGTGGGCTGCCTCCCTGTAAGCTTGACTTTTGGTTGGTGTCCCCCTGGCTGGGCCTTCCAAAAGCCCAGGTTCTGACTGTGGAGCCCAAGTTTTACTGCTGATTCTTAACATAATCTTTTTTTATTTACGTTCATTTTATTTGTAACGGAGGGAGCTCTTGTGCCTGGGTGCGTGAGTGGAAGTCAGAAGACAGCTTGCATGTGTTGGTTCTCAAACTGCAACGTGTGAGTTCCGGGGATCAAACTCTGGCCATAAGGATTAGCGGCAACTCTCCCTTACCTGATGAGCAGCCTCACCAGCTCATCTGGCTATGTTCTTGCTGTAGCTTATATATACTCTCTTCTTCCAGCCCCCGCTGGCCTTTCTGGTCTAACCCCCAGCACATTCTATAGCCAGCCCCGCCATGACTCCAGCTGCACTACTCCATTCGATGTTTCCAGGCACACCCGGGGATCTGCCATCTCCATGAAGTTGCTTCCATGATACTGGATGCTGTTTAGCTCCAAAATGTGAAGTCTCACCCTTGTCTTTTGGGGTGTCTCTTGGGCCTCAGCAGTTCTTGAATACTTACCACGCCTGTGCTTAGAGTTCCTCTCCTTCGTGAAAGTCTTACTATTTCTTGAACGCTTGTCCACCAGGGAAGTCTGCTGCTTCTCCTTGCCACTGACTATACCGTGCATAGCAAACTGTGCGTTCTCCCAGCTAAGTGCTAGCCAGGCTGGACCCTGCTTAACTTGTGGGACATGCCCCAGCACATCCACGGGCTGCAGACCATAACAAGTCATCTTTGAGATGTCTAAGGTAGATTGATTGCTTTTCTCATAGATAGGACTGAATACATCACAGGAGCTGGTTAAGGGATGGCAAGGTGGCTCAGGGGTTAAGGGTACTTGTTGCCGAGTCTGAAGACCTAAGTTTGATCCCTGGAGCTCCCGGGGTAGGAGAGAACTGATTCTCAAAGACTGTCCTTTGCCTTTCGCATACATACATGCAGTGGCACACACGTGCTCACACATGTCCCCACAAAAAAATGGGGCTGGGCAGTATTTTGTTTTGTTCTTCAGCCTCACATTTTGTTTTGTTTTGTTTTGTTTTTGTTTTACGAGACAGGGTTTCTCTGCATTGTTTTGGAGGCTGTCAGTCCAGCCCAGCCTCAAACTCACAGAGATCCGCCTGCCTCTGCCTCCCGAGTGCTGGGATTAAAGGCGTGTGCCACCACCACCCGGCTTCAGCCTCACTTTCTCTCAGCTGAGCTATCTTGGCACCACGCTTCGCAACTGGAGGCAGAGAGGATTTATTTTGGCGTGAGGTCTGAGAGGATCGGGGTAAAGAAACTTGGCAGCAGGAGCAGGAGGCTAGCTGGTTGCGTTGCATCCCCCAGTAAGGAGGCAGAATGAACAGGGAGTGGGGCCAGGCACACCTCCGGTGACCCCTTCTACTGCAAGGCTCTGCCTCCCCAAGATCTCACAACCTCCCTGAACAGCACCGTCAGCTGGGGTTCACACACACACACACACACACACACACACACACACACACACACACACACACCACTCAAACCACTATAGAAGGTCACCCTCAACCCTCTCTAAGAGACAAACAGGCCTGCGGCAGCATTCTTCCATCGGGCACTGTGTGCACCTCTAACAATTTCTCTAAAGTCTATCCTAGGAGATATTTCCGAGCTGTAAAATAGATACATATTGGTTTCTGTGAACATTGTGGGTTGCTTTTAATTGTCAATAATTTTGCCACCACATTGCCATGTACAACAGAGCTCATCTCTACGTGTTCCTGCCCACGCTTGCTATGGCCCACCTTTAAAAAAAGAGATTTGTCTTTATTTCTA